TGTTCACCAGTTATGAATTGCTGCCAGTCTCGCCACTCCAAACATGATGAGGTCGTTGAAAAATCCACTGATTCACATAATCCATCATAGTCTCCATTTGCCCAGTATTTCGCTGCCAACATATAGCTGAGGTGGTTGATTGACTTGTTCTGTCTTTTCTTGGTTAGGGTTCTGAGTCCAGCAGTTTGAGTGGGAAGATCCCAAAATAAACTTTGTCTCAGGTGTTCCCAGACCAGACTGTTGTATGTACTAGCAAGTACATGGTCCAGCACAGTCCAACGCCCTGATCAGTTGGTGGTTGCAATTGCTAGGTTGGTTCTGTTTTCACTCCCGACTTCCACTGGAACCAATGGGTGTTGCAGTCCAGCTGGGTTCTGCCCAGCACATATTCGACCCTCACATAAACCAGTAGGGGCTACAGCCTAGTCAGAGCGACCCACAATAACCCCCACCAGGCCCGCCCCCTACCCTGGTTTGCCAATATGTGTAGCCGACTAGTCCAGTCTGTCCCACATCCCAACTGGCTCTCATACATGTTGATGGGTATTAAAGCTTAGATCCATGTAACCAGCTCAACAATCAAGCCCTCACAGATGTTGTTGAGTGCCTCTCTGTCTAGGCACCCTAGCCCCTGTCCTAGTTTTTGTGCCCTCCCATGGTAGTGGTAAACCAAGAGGGAGGAGCCCACTATTTCCCTCCCAGGTCTCTCTCACTCCCAGAATATGCACTCTCCAGGTGGTTCTGTGGTTTGACTTGACAGATTTAGCCCCCAGTGCCAGCTTCTGCCAGCGGATGCTGCAGCTAAGCCCAAACATCCCGTACCCACTCTAATTTTGCTGCACCAGTGGGAATAATCCTTCCAGCCTGGCTTTTCCCTGATCTAGTCCACATGAGGCACATAGGTGTTGTAGCCCTGCTTAGTCTGGTGTGCCCCCATCCCAGCCCACGCTCTCCTGCAGGAGTAGCCGTCCAGCAAGGGAACCCCCTCACACTCCCCCTACCTGCTCTACCTCCTCCCTTCCTGGTTCTCACGTGTGCTGGATGGGCATTGCAGTCTCATCTGGTACAAGCAACCTCACCTTAGCATTCCGTATTGTGCACTGGTTTTTTGTTGCAACTGAACCTGGCCTGACCCACACTCTGTTCTGGTGCTGGGATTTGCCAGTGGATGACGTGAACTGATTCAGCCTGGTCTGCCCCCGATCCATGCCAAATGTATGTCAGTGGGAAACTTTCCATGGCCTGTTCTGGGCTGTTTCCTATCATGCTTCTTGCGCTTACCCGCAGGGTCTGTGTCCTGCCAGAGGAGTTGTCCAGGCTCCTCCATCAGAACTTTTCCCAGTGCCAGATTTTGCACATACCAGGGAGTCCATGAGCCAGCCCTACTCAGTTTACCTCCTGTCCTAGCAGGAACAGTGGCTTTTCCTGACTGGCCTTCAACCCAATCTGGTTCTTGCTGTTGGATGTTTCAGCCCAGACACAGCTCGTCCATACCCATATATGGCTCACACATTGTTCAGTAGGGGTTGAGACCTAGCCTAGTGCGTCCCACATCTAACCTGGTCTTTCAGGACACCAGATGGTGTCAGGGTCTGGCCCAGCCTGATGCATCCAGTCCCAGTTCATACTTGTGCCACTGGAGACTACAACTGTTTCCTGATCAGAACGCAGCCCCCATTCCCAGTCCACGCGCCCCTTGGTGGGAACCTCAACCCAGTTAGGGTTGTCCCCTTAGCTCCCCAACCTGGCCTGTTCCCAGCCATAGATCACTTGCATGCCAGTGACTCATTTGGCTCAGTCCCTCACCTGTCCTGACCTCTGCCTTAGACACTGTGGCTTAGTGGCCCTGACTCATGCAGACCAGTAGGTGCAAGAGCCTATCTCGGCATGACCTGTGCTCCCTCCTGGTTTCTAGTTTCGCTTGTAGGCTAAGGTTTGCTCAGTCCTGCCCAGTATATCCTGTTCCATTATCAATCCACACATTAGCCAGCTATTGGACTTACTTTTCCCAGCTTGTCTGACCCCCAATTTGGACCACATGTTCACCAGCAGGAGCTATGACTCGCCAGAAGAGTTCCCCAAGTTCTTCTACCTGATCCACTCCCAGACCCAGTTCTCATACATGCCATTGGGTTTTGGGCCAGTGCCCGGTGCAGTCTGGCCTTCCATTTAGCCCTGTATGAGCTGGTGAATGTTGCAGTCGGCCCACCCCACACCCTATTCAGGATGCAGATTTTGGTGCTGCTGCTTTGACCAGTCCAAACTGTTGTGGGTTCCTTTACCTGTGATTGATGGCAGGCTCCTTGCTCACACCTAGCTTAGTCCATCACCACCTCAACTCTTGAGATAACCAGTGAGGCTAGAATTTCCACAGGGTTTAGCCCACAACCCCCCACAGAATTTACCCCCGGATATGGTTCTTGAATGATAGTTAATGTCATGGCCCTGCCTAATGTGACCCCTATGCTGATCCCTCATTATGTCAGGTAATAGGATATCCTGCTGGACAGGCCCCAAGCCTTAGTTTTTGCATGAAATGGTGTTCGGTGCTCAGCATTGTTAAGTAGTTACAAGTTCTTCAGAGAAAGAATTACTGTCACTGGGAATCTTCAGGATTGATTCACATCCCAGTAGCACAGTGCATTCAATCTGGAGCTACCTAAGCAGCAATTCAAAGAAGAAAAATCCCAGAGCTCCCAAGCCGGGTGGCCCGCAGGCAGAGCCTGGTGCCAAATGACGCACTGGTTGCCTGGGGACAGCTCGCCACGTGCACATGGTGGCTGGCATCTGGGATCCGGGAATGAGACGCCCCATCCTGAGATTTTTGTTTTAGCTTGAATCAGCTCTGCTTCCAGCTCTATGTCTGTTTCCCCATGGTGACAGTAAATATCTTCCAATTGTGAGATTCTTTCTTCTGCTTCCTTCACTCTATTATGGAAACTCTACTGTACTTTTAATTGGCTCCACTGTATTCTTCATTTCTGACATATCAACTTCCATTTGATTCATTTCCTGTGTGACATATTCCTCAAATTTCTTAACTCTTGCATTACATGCTTCTTGCTGTTGATAAGAAGCTTTGTAACAAGTGTTTTGGATTCTGTATCCCTCATTTTCTCAATATATTCCTCAGTTAGCGCTGAGCTTTTTCTCCTTTGCAGAGGTCTTCAGTAATATTCATTCTGCCTTTGTCCCTTTTGCTGTGGGTCATTGTACTTCTGTACAAGATTCTTCTCCTTGGGGCAGGTTTCTAAGCTGTCTCACCCACAGGCCTGCAGTTTGATATTCCTTATTGCAGCTGGTACACGGCTCTTTGTAGTCAACTGTGCCACTCCCTCCAGCAAGTTCCCGGTCTGGGTTCTTATGTTAGACTTCCACCATGTTCTTTGTAGCTCCAGCTCCTGGCCCTCCACTCTCCACCTCCTGTGACACTGTGCTGAGGCTGCATTGCTGTCTATATGACCTCTCCCACTTCCGGTTCCAGCAGGTCCCCGGATTAGAAAGGCACCAGGTATCCTACAGTGCTAGGGTGTTAGTGGTGCTGATTCTGCCAGAATCTACTGGCTGTTTGTCTGGGGGCCACACGAACATATTTTGACCTCTAAGATGTTAAAGTCGGTATTATTTTTCCTTGCTGCTAGTGTAGTTCTGGCTGCCAATACAGTTCAGATCGTCACTTGCTAAATGCCAATGGGGTTTCAGTCACTGCACCATTGTGTCTGCTGCTTTCCCGTTTCTGACAGTCTCTAGGTGCCCCTCTGCTGTCGTTCTGTCCTCTCCTTCTTCCTGGAAAGTGCTTTCTCTGCTTCACACTGGCTAATGTTTCTCCATCTGCTTAAACATGTTCTTACCCTATTCTGTCATCTTGATTCTCCAGGAAAGTTTTCTCAAACTTAATTTACAGAGAATATTGGGATGCCTGAAAAAGGTATCTTTCTGTTAAACAGGTGAGAAACTTATATTTGGATTTACTTGCTTTAGCAATCCTGTATTTTAAAAGAATAAAGCATTTGGACAGCAGACTAATTTCCCCAAATGGGGAATTCTAAAAATCTCTAGCATTCAGCCCTGTCTAGGCCCATCCTAAACATTTTAAATGGAAGCAGGTATGAAACTTCCTAAAAAGATACCAATCTTGAAACCTTGCATCAAGCAGAAAACATTCACACACGAAAGACCTCTCAACTGAACTTGAACTGTGGTTATGCAGCAAGGTGGAGGAATCCACTATGGGGGGAGGGGTATGGGAGGGGTGGGGGGAATCCCCAGGGCCTATAAAACTGTATCACATAATACAATGTTAATAACAATAAAAAAAAAAAAAGAAAAAAAAAAGATTTAGTTTCCCTATAGGTGAGACGACTCGAGCTGGGTAAGTTGAGAAGTCTATGCCAAGTTGCCTTTGCAGGGGACCCCTGCCACAGCTTTAACTATCTACTCTGCTAGCTGCCCTTGGGCCTCTGCTGGGCGTGGCTTCCCACAACACGTACATGAAAGGACAACACTTTCTTGCTTACATTCTTATGATAACTACCTACTGCATTTAAGATACAACCTAAATACCTTGAAGAACTCCAGAAGTCCTGCCTGACTCAACAGAACGAGCAAAAGCACTCCGCCACAGTGAATCCTAAAACTTAATACAAAAGGAAGAAAACATGCCCTTACTTAACTCCATGTCATAAATGAACCAAACACTACATTTTCCCCATTTACATTCTTCAAATTAGTCAATACTGATTGTATTTTTCTACAAAACATTTCTTAAAATAGAGGTATGTATAAGAAGCTAGGCAAAAAAAGAAGAACCAAGTAAACAACTAACCAGCATTACAAGAAATGCTATGTCAGACACGAGGTCATTTGAAAGGAAAGAGACACATGGTCGCTATAAAACAAGATTCTTTTAGCGTAAGGGTCCTATTTTTTTTTTTTTCATTTTGTTATATGCTGTAAAACAAAATATAGATAAATTCGGGGAAAAAAAGGTTAAGACTTACTGTTATTGGTACATCTTTTGTTCCTGAATTTAATAAATGAAGATTTAAAACTTTTGGTAGATCTGTTAAAACAGAGGGAAGAAATATTTCTTAAAAAGGTATGCTTTACAGTAAGTTAATTATCAAACTAAAGCTATTCTAGAATGTGAAATATAGTGTCAATCACATTAATAAAATGACATATTAAATAGGAAATCTCTTTACTAATACACACATTGTTTTATCCCCTATCTTAAATCACTAGACACCCTCTCATCCACAAACCTCACAGTATAATTCTGTGAATAGATAGTACCATTCTGGTTTTCTGAATAAATAAATTAATGCATAATATAAAATATATTAAGAGCAAACCTAACTTTAAAAATGCAACAACCCTGAATAACCAAGTTTTAATTATAAATCATCCAAATAAACCTCAAATTAAAAGTACTATGACTTTTTCCTTAATAAAGATTTTTATTTGGCTATTTTTCATTTAACACTAAACCATCTGAAATAAATGTTTCCTATTATGTCATTAGATGAATAATGCATACCTAAATAAAAATCTGGAAGTAAATGCTTTGATTTCCTTTATTTTACTTATTAAAAAGAGAGATCAGCAGAACTGAATACATGAGGAACTGGATTAACACAGAACACTACTTTCTGCCTCAGTGTTCCATCTGGAAGACTTAAATTAATCCCTGACACTGCTTTCCCACTGGGTAAGTAATGCTACCCCACAGAGGACTGGGGTATAAACTTGTAAACATATATGGGTTCCAAGAGGAGGTTTCCACAGGATCATACAATCCATCAGGAAATAGCTTCCAAAGCTGCATTACAAAGTACAACAGCCATGAACACAGAAATTGTTTCTGAAGACCTGCAAATATCATCTCAATTTTACCTTGTGTTCGTAGTGTGCCAAAATCCAACATTTCCGTGGAGGAATATATTCCAGGAGCTTGGGGAAAAGAATAAACAATTACTTTTCACGTTGCTGCAGCAAGATGCATTGGAAACAAATCAAACTTGCAACTTCTTTTGTTTTTCACTAACCTGTTGTAACTTCAACCTCAACAGGAAGAATGATAAACTCTGTGCTGTCTGAAGCATTGGTCTTTATTCTTATAAAGGCTGTGTGATTATCAGCTTCTCTCGATGAAAAACTGGCTCGCATCACTCCCTTGGTTTCATAAGGAGGAATTTCCTGACAAGTTAAAAAAATCACGCTATAGTGAGCTTTTGTGATGCTGCAAAATCATCATATTTTATAGGGCTATATGTATCAACTAAGACATGCATTATCATTTTATATACCTACTAAGAAAAAATACATTGCCAATTAAACACATTCCACTAACAAAATACCATGCTTCAACTGTACAGTATATTAAAATAACAACTTTGCTTCTTTAAATTGAACAAAAATTGAATGAACTGAAACCAAATTTTCAGCTGTAGAATCACTTTTAAAAGGTAAAACTAAAAAAAAAAATTTTTAAAAAGGTAGAACTAATATACAACAACAGTCATTTTTTTTTAACACATGCTTATGGTGCTTGGGTGTATAATTTAGTCTTCAAACAGAAATGTCACCATTAAAGAATCATACTTTTCAGGAGTCCATACGGACCTTGGCACATGATAACCCACAGGACTTAGACTCTACTTTCCTTTCATTTAAAACTGGTCAAAACAAAACAGAGCCCCCCTTGTCCCAGCTGTTTACTAATCACATTTGAGAAGACTCTTGATAACAACTGTCAGTCCTGTAAAGATAGAATATTCACACACACATTCTTGCAGGAAGACTCACTAGGGGGTGGAAAAGCTTCTTTCAGAGTCTAAATTCTTTTTCTGGTTTTAGAATAACAGGGCTGAAAGCTCTCTGCTCAGATCTTTTAGCACGTTTTAGGAACTCCTACAACTTACTGGTATTCATTTGCCCCACTCTCTGTCACAAGCGGGAAAACACATGACTGGACCCTTCCAAAGACCCAGGGTGGACTGCCTACTTTCCACCTCTGGGGTGTGGGGCTACCTTGTTCCCTGTGGCTTTCTCATGTACACTGCGAAGGTCTGGGGACGAGACAGCAAGGCCAGTGACTTAATCCTCATTCTTAGGTTTGTGGGAGTAAGAATTACTGCAGCCACTGGGAGAATTAAAACGTGAGAATTAAAATTACTTTCTGCTGTCTGTCTTCACGGTTTTTAAGTACTTAAAACATGAATCCTCTCACGTTTCTCTATCAGATACCAATTATATTTCACAGCGACATTCTTGAAGTTATCCTATTAAGAATTACAATGCCAACTTAATAGCTTATATTTAATCATTTCAAGACTATTTTATATACAGTTTCTCCCAAGGGCTTTCCAAATAATTTTAAGCTTGTAAGATTTTGGTGAAAGGATACAAAAGAACCGCCCATCACATATCCCTGCTAGTGTGATTCTGTATTTAGAGAATTAATCACATCAGTGACCAACAAATTTGTAAATGTTTACATCCATATCTCTTCTCTGGTCAAGACTGGTCAGCAAAGAGGTTCCGTGTGTATGTTTAACAGAGCAATTACTACAGACACCTTGGTTCACCTTGGTCCTAGCAGTAAAGTCACGGTGTCCCCAATTACTGAAGAGTAGCTCTCTGACAGGTCCTGTTACAAGAATGTGCTCACTATCACCATCTTTCCCTTCTCAGATGAAAATGTGGTACACAACATGGAAACAAACACAAACTTCTCATGTGTCAGGCACCTGCACAAGTAAAGGAGCTCCTACATATCCTTGAATTTGATCTGTAGCTGCTAGTGTTCGCCAACAGGAAGAGGAAGTATTTACCAATATGGAGGTAGATGCTGATCATTGAAGATTTTAGAATTTTCTAAGTCATCACAGAGGTCAACAGTTTTTTGCAAAAGTCATCTCTTTTGTTAGTGTGTATAAAACTAATACAGTGGTGAATCTGATTTAATTCTCTTTCTTCAAAAAATACAACGAATCTAGAAGTCTTTAAATTTCAGGATGGAACACATCATAAACAGAGATAATTTTACCAATAAAATCTGAGAAAACAGTTGAAACTGTTTCCCTTCTACACGGCAAGACTAAAGTCCCTGCCAAGTCTGCTTACTGCTCCATGGCTTGATTATCTAGTTTCTCAATTTTCCTACCCAATTTTTAAGAGTGTTTGATATGAATTTAATGTTGATTACTAAAGAACAGCCATCCAAAACTTCTTCAGGTGATAGGAGTCAAATACTGTTTCATGTATTAATAAGATAATTGGTCTCACATGAGTGCACCAATGAAAAACTGTACTAACACTCACCCATAATTTCCTGGTACCTCCTTGTTGACCTGTCGGGAGTTCTAGGTGAAGGTCTCCTCCACTTGAGTACATTTCTACCACCTAGGATAACAGAACACAAAATCATATTCTCAATGTGAGTAATTTGCCATGACAGAGAAGTCCTAATTTTAGAGAAAATTTTAAAACATATATTTTTAATTTTTTAAAAGATTTTATTTTATTATTTTTATTGGAAAGACGGATATACAGAGAGGAGAGACAGAGAGGAAGATCTTCCATCCGATGATTCACTCCCCAAATGAGCGCAATGGGCCGATGCTATGCCGATCCAAAGCCAGGAGACTCTTCCGGGTCTCCCACGTGGGTGCAGGGTCGCAAAGCTTTGGGCCGTCCTCCACTGCCTTCCTGGGCCACAGGCAGGGAGCTGGATGGGAAGTAGAGCTGCCAGGATTAGACCCGGCGCCCATATGGGATCCCGGGGGTGCAAGGCGAGGACCTTTATCACTGCACCATCACGCCGGGCCCAAAAATTTTAAAATATTGACAGATATGCAGGATAAGTACCATTAAATCCAGCATCTCAGAGGTGTAAGTAATTGCAGTAATTGCATTAAAAGTAACTTTGAAAAGTAAATTTGGGGGCCTGGCGCAATGGCTCAAAGGCTCTATTCTCACCTTATAAATGCCAGGATCACATATGAGTGCTGGTTTAAGTGTGGCTGCTCCACTCCCTGTCCAGCTCCCTGCTTATAGTTTGGGAAATCAGTGGAGCAGGACCAATGCCTTGACATCCTACACCCATGTGGGAGATCTGGAAGAAGCCGCTAGCTTTTTATCAGCTCAGATCATCCATTATGATCATTTGCAGAATGAATCAGCAATGAAAGATTTTCTGTCTCTTCTCTCCATAAATCTGATCTACCTTTCCAATAAAAAAAAAATCACAAAAAAGGGAAACCCAGGACCCAGCGTGATAGTGTAGTGGTTAAAGTTCTCGCCTTGCACGCACCCCGGGATCCCATATGGTTACCAGTTCTAATCCCGGCGGCCCAGCTTCCCATTCAGCTCCCTGCTTGTGGCCTGGGAAAGCAGTTGAGGACAGCCCAAAGCCTTGGGACTCTGCACCTACGTGGGAGACCCAGAAGAGCTCATAGCTCCTGGTTTCAGATTGGCTCAGCTCCATACATTGTGGCCGCTTGGGAAGTGAATCATTGGACGGAATATCTTCCTCTCTGTCTCTCCTTTCTGTATTTCTGTCTTTCCAATAAAAATAAATATTAAAAAAAATAATAACAAAAGGGAAACCCAAATAGCGTTAACTTTTTTCAGACTTGATTACGGAAAGCAATAGACAATTCTTCTTTCAAAGAGCATAATTCACAGACATCATTAAATTTTAAAAACACAAGTTCTATATTTCTTTTTTTAAAAAAAAATATTATTTATTGGATAGGCAGATATACAGTAAAGGAGAGACAGAGAGAAAGACCTTCCATCTGATGGTTCACTCTGCAAATGACTGCAATGGCCAGAGCCTAGCCAATCTGAAGCTAAGATCCAGGTCTTCCACATGGGTGCAGGATCCCAAGGCCTTGAGCCATCCCGTAATGCTTTCCCAGGCCATAAGCAGGGAGCTGGATGGGAAGTGGGGTAGCCAGGATGTGAACTGGCACCCATAAGGGATCCTGTCTGTAAGGCAAGGATTTAACTACTGAGCCATCACAATGAACCCCAAATTCTGTGTTTCTTATAGAGTGTTCCTTTATTTACACATATATAACAAGATTTAGCAGTGGATCTAAAATCTACCCTGTGAAATACTAAAGCTTTTAAACATTATTCCAAGATAAATGCAACCATTTTTAAAAACATCTGTTCATTTTTTCGAAAGGCAGCCTAAGAGAGAGGGTAGGGGAAAACCAGAGGGAGGGAAAGAGAAAGTGAGAGAGATGTTCCACATACTGGTTCATAACCGAAATAGTCATAACAGCCAGCTCTAGGCCAGGCCCAAGTCAGGAACTAGGAACTCCAACTTGGGCTCCCATGTGGGTGGCTGAGTCATCTCCCTATGCCTTTCCAGGCACTTTGGCAGGTGGCTGGATCAGAAGGGGAGCAGGTGCAAACTGCACCACTGATCTGACACAGGATGCTATCATCACTGGCAACAACCTGTCAAGTTACAATGCCAGTCTTTAACAGTTTTAATACAGTAGGAAGTGTTTGGTTTCTACTGGTAGCAAATTCATAGGTACTAACAGCTTTTTGGTTTGTGCTCACGGTCACAATTTTTGAAGAACATTTTTACTGCAGTTTCACTGAAGCATAATAAATAGATAAAATATACAACTTGATGAGTTCTGACATATGTAGGCATGAAGCCAGTTCTGCAATAATGGTGCTATATCTACCAGTTCCCACCCCTCCCCCAAATTTCTTCCTGACTGCTGAAACCATCCTCCCTCTCTGCACCTCCCATTCCCAGGCATCCACTCATGTGTGCACTGTAGATTAGTTTGCAATTTTCACAATTTCACATAAATATAATGTTTAAAATGGTATGTTCTCTTGAGTAATAATTTTGAGATGTGTGACTGTGTATCTATTTATAGTTCACTTCTATTTGATAGCGATAACTGTGGTTTATTACCCAGTCACATGTTGATGGGCACTGGGGCTGTTTCCAGTGTGTGGCCGTTAGAGATGAGGCTGCTACAAACACTGAGTGCAAGCCTTAGTGATGCCTTTTGCTTCCCTTTCTCTGCGGTATCTAGGACCAACTGGCTCATGTACAGGAAACTAACATTTAAAGGCAGGATCCTCAGTTCTTAAAAAATATACATTTAATGAACTTAAATTTGGAATGAACTAAGAAAATGGGAACAAAATTCTCCCTTGTGTAATTACAAAAGATCCTGTAAAAGGACTAAACAAGAAAAACAGCAACATGTATGTATAAACCTAAAAGGATTTTTTCAGCTTTTTTCATGTTTCCTTCAAGAGAATGTAGTCAGCACAGACTGATGAGCTCAGATTTTATGAGCATTATTACTTGCCTCCTGATTCATTATAGTGCTAAAGTACTAACTACATTAATCACTAATACACAGGGAGTGACTACAGACAACGTTCTGGAAAAAACAGACACACACAAACACACCTCCACTCTTCCCCCAATCATCACTTACTAATTCACTTATTTTTTTCAAAGGATCATGGAAACCAGAACAATGTTTGAAAACGGAAGATTAAAAATCCAATGCTATGGGGCCCGGTGCAGCGGCCTAGTGGCCAAAGTCCTCGCCTTGCACATGCTGATATCCCATATGGTTACCGGTTATAATCCCGGCTCGACTTCCCAGCCAGCTCCCTGCTTGTGGCCTGGGAAAGCAGTAGAGGACGGCCCAAAGCCCCAGTACTCTGCACCCACGTGGGAGACCTGGAAGAAGCTCCTGGCTTGATTGGCTCAGCTCTGGCTATTGTGGCCGCTTGGGGAGTGAATCAGCAGACAGAAGATCTTCCTCTGTCTCTTCTCTCTGTATATCTGACTTTCCAACAAAAAATAAATAAGTATCTCCAAAAAATCTGATACTATTTATCTTAGTATAATTTAGGGGAGGATAAAATTAAAGTCAACAAATTTCTACAAAATGTATTTACTTTGTGTACCCACTTATATGCCTTAAATGTTCAGCAAAGGTTAGAAACTAACCCAAGATGAGTGGTGTTTATTAATGTGGAAGGAACTGAGACTGGCACTCGGCTGTCAACACAGTAACTACTGCCTATATGTAACTGCATACATTTCAATGACTTAAAATGAAATAAAAATTCACTTCCTTAGCCAGCAGTCACAGAGCTAGTTGCCTCAGCATCAAACAAAGCAGATAGAGAACTTTACTGCCCCACAAAGTTGGTTGCATAGAGCCAGATTAAAAGGTAGAGTTCAAGGTAGCACTGTTTCACACAATTTGAAATGTTAACATTTTCTTTCAGCAAGAATGTACCAATATGTTGTGTTGTATAATGAAGAAATCATACATTGTCTTGATTTACTATGTGTGTGTGTGTTTACGAGATGTGAAAGTTAAGATTATAGGGAGACAGAGACTCTTGCATCGAAGGGTTGACTCCCCTACATGGCCAAAATGGCCAGGTCTGGGGAGTCATATGGGATATCCTCGATTTTCCTAGGCCATTGTTGGAGGACTGACTGGAAGGGAAGCACCTAGAACATGATCTGGCCCCAAAATGGAATGCCACTATTGTAGGCTTTACCCATTACACTGCAATACCAGTCACTGTAATTTCTTCATTTAAAGGAAAAGACTAGAGACACGGTATAATACACTACAGCACTCCCAAACTAACAGTGACGTCCTAAATAACCTATAGTAATTCTAACAGGACAACTTGAGTTTTGCATTTGCTTTCCTACTATGCTGGTGAAAAGCTCACTCTGGTAAGCCATGAACTGGAGAGCCCCAGTGAGTAAGCCATTGCCTGGAATGCTGGCATCCCATACAGATGCAGTCTAGCCCAGGTTGCTTCACTTCTGTCCAGCTCCCTGCTAATCTGGCTGAGAACACAGCACAAGAGGACCCAATACGAGCTTGCACTCCTGTACCCACATGGGAGGCCTGGAAGAAGCTCTTGGTTTCTGGTTTTGGATCAGCTCTGATGCAGCCACCGTGGCCATTTGGGGAGTGAACCAGTGAAAGGAAGATTTTTTTCTGTTTCTGTCACTTCCTCCCTCTCTCCGCAACTCTGTCTTTCAAATAAATATATTCACAAAAAAGTTATGTAGAAAAAAGAATTCATGAATTACATTTAAAGAGATAACTGTTTTCTGGAGAAGAGTTTCATAACTCCAAATGTTGTGGAGAAAAGGCAGGAACTGCAAAAAATGGTGGAATGAGTGAGTCAGGCCAGCTACATGGGTCCACTGGAGAGCAGCTCCCAGGTCTGCAGTCTGGAAAACACGTAACACACCATCTACAGCTGTGTGGGCAACCCCCTCTGCGGAGTGGCCACAGTGAGTGTACAAGGTTTGACTTCTTTCTTTAAAAACAGCCAAGTGAAGAAAGCAGTAGAATTTCTGTGTAGATACATAATAAAGTTAACAATGATTGGGAAAATTCACCACTGCCTAAAGCAACAAAAAAGATATAAAATGACAATCTGATGAAGAAGACAGGAGATGTTTTTGTCTTGTCAGCCCCATACAGCATCAGCCCAGTCTAGGGGAGAGACTTCTTTCTGCTTTATCAACTCAAGCCCTGAAAATCTCCCTGTTCTTCATTTCCCATCTCACTGCTTTCAATCATTTATCCTGGGGGTTGTAGCACAGCAAAAACTTCTTTAGTTGCCAAAGTTCTGTGCTTACCACAAAACATTATTTTCCCTCCACCTGTCATTTTAAAGCAACTGTTAAATCCTGCAGTGTTGGTCCCAGACAACTGTAGGACCCCGTGTGTGGCTGCACTGGAAAGCTGCCACATCTTCCATCAGACAACGTCATCTTATTATGGTTGTAACCTGCCAGTGAGACACAGAGTGGGGATTTAAGGAAATCTCTGGATTTCTGAACGCTATGTGAAGGAGAGCAGGAGCTTGGGGAATAGATTTCAAATTCGAAAGTAATTATCAAGAGAAGACCGAGAAAGAGAAGGAACTTGACTTTTAAAATAGAAACTCAGTTTGCATTTAATTATTCGGTATCATCTTTGCCCAAATGTTAATTTCTAGGCTGCCATCATCAGAAATACCACCAAAAAATTATTTGGGGCCAGAAAGAACTCATAGAACAACAACAAACAAAAAACGTGTAACTGAAAACTTTTCTGAAAATAAGGGTAGAGCTGTCCAACTGTAAAACCAGAGAAACCACAGTTGTTTAAAAACGTTCCAAAAAACCCACAATCGAGATTGCTACTACTAAATTAAGACTACAGCAAGCTGCATTAAAGCAATGTTCTTAAAACAGATATACAGGGCCCAGCGCAATGGCACAGTGATAAAGGTCCTCGCCTTGCACGCCCCGGGATCCCGTATGGGCGCCGGTTCTAATCCCGGCACCCTCGCTTCCCATCCAGCTCCCTGCCTGTGGCCCGGGAAAGCAGTCGAGGACGGCCCAAAGCTTTGGGACCCTGCACCCGTGTGGGAGACCCAGAAGAGGCTCCTGGCTTCGGATTGGCTCCAGCCATTGTGGCCGCCTGGGGAGTGAATCATCAGACAGAAAATCTTCCTCTCTGTCTCTCCTCTCCGTATATCTGCCTTTCCAATAAAAATAAATCGTAAAAAAAAAAAAAAACTATACAATTCCATTATTTTAAATAGTCTTGGAAGCTAACAAAACTGAGATTTCATGTTAAGCATTAATCTGTGCCAAAATCAAGTTCATTCTAAGTCACTGTCATGGACTCACCTGTAAAGGCTCGCTGTGAGGATTGTGTATGTTTATTATAGGGGAGAAGCTGCTGTTCACAGGGACCCTGGCCCCCAGGAACGGCCTTAACCGATATGGATTTGGAACTCCAACACCAAATACCTGTTTGAAAGAAGGGGGAAAATGCAGTCTGAGTTGCTTTACAACATTTTTAGAGGTATAGCTTTGTTCTATGGAGACTGATCAATCTGAGACAGAAATAATCGTAATTCCCACCTGGCCCACACTTAAAAAACAAAAACAAAACCACAAGCTTCCTTAGTTGATTGACTACATATTTGTTTTACTAGGAATATGTGCTCTTGGAATGAGTTCTGTAACACCCCCACAGATCTGCATCTGCAAATTTAAGCAATTACAAACAGAAAACATAAAAAAAGATTTGCCTGAACATGTGCAGGCTTTTTTGTTATTAATCCCATAACAAAGCAGTTTAACAACTATTTTCATGACACCTTCCAACTTATTAGGTATTCAAAGCAATTTAAAGATGATTTAAAGTATCTAGGAGATAAGCAGCAGTTATACGCCAACACGATGCCTTTTACATAAAGAACTTGGACATCCTTGGATTTGGGTAGGGTAGGTAAGAACCAATTCCAGGAATACTGAGAGATGACTGTAGGTGAGAAACTAAAATGACAGTTTTCATGAAGTTATGAAACACAAAATAAAATAGGCAGTCAAAACATACCCGGACTGGAACCATCATCAGAAGATGGATTTCTGGCCCAGGTAACCTTTCACATACCGAGCCCAGCCTCAGGTCATTCCAACAACAGAAGCACCTTAGTTGACTCAGCTGACTGAGTCAGATATTCAAATGACTTATATTTACTAAATGTCTCTAATATGTTAAGCATAAGCTTAGACAGTAGTGAACACGATACATAACATACCTATTCTCACATATCTTACATTGTAGCACTGGGAACAGAGTAGAAGACAACCAAAAAGAATAAAGAAAAAAATCTCAGGCTACAAAGTGAATTACAGAACATGTTTGGAAGGCAGTTAGATAGCTAGTGCGTGATCCAGTGGGAAGTGATGGTGGCTGTGAGACAAGCAGTGGCAACGAAAAGGCAAGCTGTGCAGACCTGAGAAATGTAGAAGGAAGGCTTGGTGAAAAACTAGATGAGGAAAAAGAAAAAAGGACAGCTGATGACTGGGGATCACGTGGAAGAACACTCTGATCGCAACTCCGGCCAGACTGGCCACAATCACCCAGTCTGTGAGGAGCTGCCTTTATAGCAAGAGCCATGATCTTCATCCTTGTGATATTCCTATCATCCACTTCCCAAGGGCATTGTTAAATGCATCATTTAGCACCTCACAATTACTGAACCAAGCAGCAAAAATGTACCAAATGCTTTCTAAACAATCTTTAAAGACTTACCAGAAGTAGAACATAGCTCCTTATTGAAACAAAACATTTATGCTGGTATGACACTTACTTTTAAAACACTCAAACTGTTCTGGGAAATGTGGTGAAAATGTCCAAAGCAAGCAAAGTAAATTTTCAAAACGCTGTCATATGGTAAGTCAGAACTGATAACATCTATTCTATTCTTTTAAAAAAGTTTTAATTCCAGTTCTTACCTGGTAAGTAAATACCCCATGATTAGATGTATTAATAAATAAAGTATTTTCTACATTTCCTACTACTCTTGCAAGAAAAACTACATCAAACGATGTATTTCCTCCTGGAAGAATTTTCTGGAAGAAAAAAAAAGCAAAGAAAGTTAAACTGGGCAGCAAACAAAAATCAGATCATATTGACTAAAATTAGCGAAAGCTATCTTAAGCATATTAGAATCATTGCCATAAACTACTCTTTTTCCTTTAGAGGATTTCCTTGAAATAACCAAATTGCTGTAAAATACAAAAAAGCTGTCCTCACAGTGAATGTCTGCAGTCACAGCTCTTTGCCCACTATTAGTCTAAACCCTATCTAACAGATGACTTTTCAGGATTCTATTCACTTAGGCTAGAATGAAGTGCCCAATTAAAAGCTATCCCATCAGTTGAGGGAGGCGCAGAGATGAAGTGCAGCTTTCTATACAGATGTTCTACTGTTACAACGAGCAGCAGCTTCTATTATTCTGAGGAATATGGCAGGTCTCAACCTCTCCACCTATATCAACTTAAAGCAAGAGATGGCAGGGACCTAAGTACATATGCTCAGTTATCCTGTGCAGACTGGGAATGTCACTCTAGGCAGGGAAATACAATTTTATTACAAGCAGACATCAGGGCCAAGGTATGAAATTGGAGACACTGGGACTGCAGCTCTGCCTGTAATAAAGCCTTTAGAAGCTATCAGTCTCTTTCTGCCTCTACGGAAATCTAAACCCTACACAGTTCAAAATACACATCACTCAAGTTCTGGTTTTATCTTGGGGTGAACGAAGCTGGGAAGAGCTTTTTTCCTGCATTACCAACAATAATAAATAGAAAAAAATTTTTTAAATCACATTTTCTTCCTTGAACCCATAATAGATTGGTTATCAACTAGCCCAAAACCCAAGAAAAGACAATACCTCCAGAAGAGATGGGTGTGAGTCCTGGCTCACTCTTGGCATGCAATGGCAAGGAGATGTGGCTACCATGCAAAAGGGAAAAAGACACAGCTAGAATTTTTGCAAATGGCTGAAGGAAGCGTTTGGGCTAGTTGGAGAATACAGAATCCCTACAAGCTGTAGGTATCAGGTGAGATGTACACTGGAGCCAGACATCAAAACAGATTTATACCTGGTAAATTTCCCAAGTAGTTAAAAATTAAATAACATACTTCTAAATAATACACTGCCACTGTTCATATAAGTAGAAACAGAGAAATTATAAACTAATTTGAATCAATTGGAAATGAAAATGCAAATCAAAATTTGTGGACAACAGTTAAAGCAATAGTTAGAGAGACTTTTTGTTGTTATTTTGTGAGAATCAAGACGACAGAACAGGGTAATGACATGCTTAAACAGACAGAGAAACATTAGTCAGGATGAAGCAGGAAACGGGAAAGGATAGACAGATGGCAGAGGGGCCCTGGAGACTGATGGACACAGGAAAGCAGTGAAGACAACACTGTGGTGTTGCAGTGACCAGACACCCCAGTGGCATTCAGCAAGCAGTGATCTGAACTGCACCTACAGCCAGGACTCCACCAGCAACCAGGTGGGAACAAGAGTTACAGGGAACTCAGGAGATAAGCCCAAAGAACTTTCTGTCCTACTGATTTCTTTGATTTGGCCAGGAGCAGAGAGAGCGCAGATCCCAAATGGGTGGTGTGAGAGCAGGGTGGATTTTACAGCTGAGACCTGCAGTAGAGCTGAATCGGACGCCATCTTGTTTAGGAAGACAAGACAAAGCTGGACAGGACTACACATGCACTGAGCTGGGGCGGGGTGCGGAGTACTCATATCTAGCTCAGTGAACAGCAATGACCTGACATCCTACAGGTTTCAACGAAAACGTGTGGGTAGCCCCTAGACCTAATGGCCAGCAGATCACGAATTCCAGGAATGGCACAGAAGGCCCCATTCTGTACACTGTAGCAAAAGCTTTGAGACTGCAGGGATAACAGTGAGCAGTCTGAGCTGGGAGTGAACTCACCGAGATCAGTGCATTGCACTGGTCCCACATCAAAAATAATTCCGGCTTTGGCAACTTTCAACTCAAAATAGGTCCATGTAGCCCTCAAACCTAACAAGCAAGCAGGTTGTGGCAAAATCAGCACCATCAACAACCAAGGTATCCTTAGGAAACCTGGTGTCTCCCTAATCCTGGGAACTGCTCGAACTGGAAGTGGGAGAAAGGTGCTACAAACAACAGGGCAGCCTCAGCATGGGATCACAAGAGGTGGAGAGAGTAGAGCCAGAGCTGGGGCTATGGAGACCATGGTAGAAATCTAACATAAGAGCCGAGATCTGAAACTTGCTGAAGGCAGTGGCACAAGTGACAACAAACAAAGAACCAGGTACCAAAAACAACGAAAAAAATTGAATTGTAAACCTGTGGGTGAGACAGCTTAGAAACCTGCCCCAAGGAGAAGAATCTGCTAACCAGGAGCGCAATGACCAACAGCAAAAGAAGAGACAAAGGGACAATGAGTATTACTGAAGACTCCTATGCAAAGGAGAAAAAGCCTCTGTCAACCTCAGAATTAACTTAAGAATACATCAAGACTAGGGATACAGAGTTCAAAACACTTGTTATAAAGCTTCTTGCCAACAGCAAGAAGCACATGCAAGAATTTAAAGAATCTATCACACAGCAAATTGCAACACTGAAACAAAATCAAGTTGAACTATTGGAAATTAAAGACACATTAGAGCAAATTAAAAATTCACTGGAAAGTCTCAATAATTGAATGAATCAGACAGAAAAAAAGATCTCAGAATGGGAAGCTCTTTCCTGTCACTAGGGAATCAAAATGATGGAAGCAGGGCCCAGCACGATAGTGTAGTGGTTAAGGTCATTGCCTTGGATGTGCCAGGATCCCATATGGGCACCGGTTCTAACCCTGGCAGCTCCACTTCCCAGGCAGCTCCCTGCTTGTGGCCTGGGAAAGCAGTTGAGGACAGCCTAAAGACTTGGGACCCAGCACCTGCGTGGGAGACCTTGTTGCAGCCACGCGGGGAGTGAATCATTGGCTGGAAGATCTTCCTCTCTCCTCCTCTCTTGTACATCTGCCTTTCCAATAAGAATAAATAAATCTTAAAAAAAAAAAAAAAAAAACGCTGGAAGCAGAGCTGAGTTAAACCAAAAAAAAAGTATGCAAGAATGAAAGATACCATTCAAAGGCCAAATATAAGAGTTAATGAGAGTCCCAAAAGATGCAGAAACAGACACTGTATTTACAAATGTATTTATTTAATGAAATAATAAGGGAAAAATTTCCTTATCTAGTGAAAGAATTGGGAAACAATATCCAGGAGGGGCACAGAACTCACAACAGGGTTGACCAAAAGCAATCATCACCAAGACACATGATAATCAAGCTCTCTTCAATAAAATATAAGGAAAAGATCCTTAAATGTGCATGTGAAAAAAAAAAATCAACTGACATGTAAAGGAATGCCAATTAAAATCACAGGAGCCCGCTCACAGGAAACTCTACAGGTAAGAAGAGAATGGAGTGACACATTCCAGATTCTAAACGAAAAAACTGTCGGCCCAGGATAACATGCCCAGCAAAGCTTTCCTTTTTGTTTGAAGATGAAATAAAATTCTTTCACAGTAAAGAAAAGTTAAAAGAATATGACTCTTCCAAACCCACCCTACAAAGGATACTTAAAGATGTTTTCTTGACAGAAAAAAGAATAGTGCCCACCAAAACCAAAGGCATATGTGAAGAACACCCCAGTAAAATTACAAGATTAAATCAATGAACAACCCATTGTTAAAATGACAGGACCAAATTACCATCTACTTATACTAACCCTGAATGTAAACGGCTTAAACTCATCAATCAAACATCATATATTAGACTGGATTAAAAAAACATCCAAACTCATCTATTTGCTGCTTATGGAAGATACATCTAACAAAGATCAATGGAAACGACATCTCATAGACTGTGTTTTTGTTTTTAGTTCCATCACTTCAGAACATTTTTTTTCTTATTAAATTCTTCACTAATAAATAACTTCCTCTTCAAGAAGCTTATTGATTTTCTTGTTCATTTCTTCAGTGACACATCAGCCATGCAGTAGCATATTATTTAAATCATGGCATTGTAAATTTTTTTTCTTCCTGTTGTTGATTTTGTATTGTGGCTTTTCATTTAAGAGGATGTGCAGGAACTGTGTAAGGAAGACTATCTTTTCTAGTGGAATGTTGTTTAACTTCATGGAGATGTCAATTTGTTTTTCTTCCTGTTATTTTGTTTTGTGGCTTTTCATTTGGAGGGATGTATAGTTGACTGTGTAGTGGAGACTGTCATGTCCAGTTGTGAGGATACAGTGCAGTGTGCATCTCCACTTCCAGATCGAGGATGGATTCCCAGTGAAACTGTTGGATGTGTCATCACAATGGGATGTTGGGCATCGCCACTGTCTATGCCCGCATGATGGATTATGTCTGTTTATCATTACTGTTGTAATGATATGGGGGAACTCGGTGGGGAAAGGGATTTGGGGAGGGATTAGAAAAAAAAATCACAGGGCCTATCATGAAATAACAATAAAAAATGAAAGAAAAAATATTTATTTGACAGCCAGAATTTGAGCGAGAAAAACGGCAAGATCTTCCATCTGCTAATGCTGCCAATATGGGTTAAGCTACTGCTTGTGACACCATCATCCCATTCAAGAGCAAGAGTCTTGGCTGCTCTGCTTCTATGCCTATGCCAACCCCTGCTACTGTGTCTAAGAAAGCAGGGCAAGATGAACCCCTATAATCACAAGGGAGACTCGGCTGGGATTCCAAGGCTCCTGACTTCAGCCTGTCACTGGGGTTATCTGAAAAAAGTCAATCAGTGGGTAGATTTCTTTCTCTTCCTATATCTCTCAGATAAATAATTCTCTCAAAAAATTGAAGTCAGAATTGGTATTCTGAAAACATATACACTGTATACTATATGGTCTGTACATTACATAGTGGTGGAAGACAAACAGCCCTAAGTTATAACCTTAATATGTTACTTTTAATTATAATTAGATAATTACAAGAAGTTGTATACAGAAAAAAGAAAAAAAGGCTTTCACACAATCACATTTCCCAAGTCTCCTCTTTATATTTCTACTTTTATTTTTAGGTATTCTTAAGACTAAAAACTTAATGAGAACTGTTAAAATATATTTATGCAACACCTAACCTTTTAAGTAACTCTTCTCTTCTGCATTTCCTATTAATCTAGAACTAACAGCAATGAACAATAAAAAGTTTTGAGTTACAATGTTTTAGTGTCAAAGAAATAAGATCTTAACAGAATATGACAAAGACAAATAGAATAAACAGGCAGAAAGGTTCTGCCTCCTCATTCTTAACATGGAAAACTTGCCATTTTCCCAGTGGTCAATGCAGCCATTTGGGGAGCAAACCAGCAGATGGAAGATCTTTCTCTGCTCTTTGCAAATCTGCCTTTCAAATGAAAATAAAATAAATCTTTTTGTTTTTTAAAGAAATTGGTGCTGGGACAGTCTAGTTTCAGATATGTCAATCAATAGCCTTTAGCGTATGCTGTTTGATCCATTGTCTGTTTTTCTAAAATTAAATTCAGTGTGAATATATCACAATTGGGATATACATTAAAAGTTTTTAGAAGTCTTCTTAAGAATTGCACATACTCCCATATGGCAATCACTGGCTTCCTGAGTGTAGACTGACGGCTTGGGATTGTCTGCATGTATCCAGGGCATTCCACAGCCCAAATGGCCTATTTCCCTCATTTACACTGCTTACTTAGCCCAACAAAAATTTATGTTTGTTACCCTTGGTCTACTGGAAAAAAAAGTGAAAATCCTGACCATTAACTCAAGTGAAAGGTGGAGTGTCCAGAAATAACAAAATTTTGAATTAGTAAAGGTAACAAGTTAAAAATGAAATGTGTAGTACAGGTGTGAGCTATTTTTGAACTGGTTCCATTTTTACTTCACTATTTGGTTTTTCTCACCCAACATGTATGCACAGTGACAGAAAGCTGGGTTCAGTTTATACGCAAATGAAGTTCTGTGCAGATGGTTACTCTCTGTACCGTAACATGATACAGATCACTGAGTAGGCTCACACACCTCCTGGCCCTTGTCACTAACCACGACCATGGCAGACCCTCATGGGGCTCAGCTCTGAATTTGTACACATGGATTTTCCCCCAGAATTATATTATTCAAGACCACTAGCACATTCAAACAGTTGTGAAATTATATTTTAAGGAACAACCAAGAATAATTTCAGGAAAATTTTAAGACATTTTAGAACAGGGATGTCTTCCATGAATATACTACAAACTAAACATTTTGTTACCAATAAGAGACTTATCAATCCTCTTTATAAAATGCTTTTTCAAAAAGCCAAAATAGGACCAATGTAATTGTTTAAGCCTCTGCCTAGGGTGCTGGTTCAAGTCCAAGATCTTCCACTTCTAATCCAACGTACTGCTAATGTGCATGGGAGGGCAGCAAAGGACTGCCCAAGTCCTTTGACCCCTGCACCCACACAGAAAACCCAGAAGAGGTTCCAGACTTCTAGTTTCTGACTGGCTGAGCTCCAGTTATAATGGTCATTTGGGAAGTGACCCAGTAGATGGAAGGTTTTTCTCTGTGTTTCTCCTTCTCTCTGTAAAATTTTCCCTTCAAAGAAAAATATTTTTTTTTCCTTTTTAGAAAAGCCAAAATAATGTATTTTTTAATCTCTAGAAATTGCTGGCTAAGAGCAACATATGACGAAACACAATTTTAGAACAATGGATATAAAAACCTAAACAGGGCCCAGCGCGGTGGCGCAAGTGGTTAAAGGTCCTCGCCTTGCACGCCCGGGATCCCATATGGGCGCTGGTTCTAATCCCGGCAGACCCGCTTCCCTTCCAGCTCCCTGCCTGTGGCCTGGGAAAGCAATTGAGGACGGCCCAAAGCTTTGGGACCCTGCACCCGCGTGGGAGACCCAGAAGAGGCTCCTGGCTTCGGATCGGCATAGTATCGGCCCATTGCGCTCACTTGGGGAGTGAATCATCGGACGGAAGACCTTCCTCTCTGTCTCTCCTCTCTGTATATCCGCCTTTCCAATGAAAAAATAATAAAAATAAATCTTTAAAAAAAAAAATAAAAACCTAAACAATGGGTATAAACCAATACAATGACTAAGTGTTCCCATGTTTTAAAAATGACCTTTTCATTTAGTTATATTGTCAATGAATCAGTAAAAATCCTGGGAAGATGAAATTAAATTCTAGCTATCTGCTTCTTCTGATACTTGTTTTTTTTTATTAATTATTTCAGAAACCTATATGTTAAAATTTAATGCATCCTGTTTAAGCTTCAAATTCATTCAAGATCCAATTATGTTGGTCAGAAAACAGTTCTTTTTTAATAACAAGTTCACATATGACCTATTAAAAGTATAAGCAGAATTTCAGAGGATACTTGTGGTCAGCAGAACCCTCAATGACCCCCCAAAACCTCTGGCTGTAATCTCCGAGACCAGGAACGTGAAGAGGTGGCACAGCCGTAATTATTTACACCACAGTGAAAAAGGACTTGTGCAGGTCTAGCTCAGGTCACCAGTCAGACAGTCCTGAATTAATCACAAGGGAGGCTATCCAGTGACAATGCTTCTTGGAGAAGTAGAGCTTTCTCCACTGGTGGTAGAACCGGGAACCAGAGGGAGAAAAGCTACAAAGGAAAAGGCTGCAGTGCTGCTGCCTTAAAGGGCCATGGGGTCCCAGACAGTGAGCCAGGAGGGAAATGCCAAATACCAACTGCAGCGTTACCGAAGTCTGCCAGCAACTTGAACAAATTTGGAAGTGCATTTCCCCTCAGGGCCTCCAGACACAGACCCCGCCCAGAGAATATCTTAATGACAGAATGGGGGAGCAATGATATACCCAGTTAATAACACACTAGCCAAGACTTACAAAACTATGTACTGCTAAAAAAATATTGGCCTGAGCTGTCAGGTTTGTGGTCATTTATCATACAGCAATAGAAAACTGATATACTGTTGAAAAATTATCTGTTAGAGGAAAAAGACAATCAAATTAATCCATGAATGCTGGATTTTTCAGAGTGCTTCCACACAGCTGATTTGTTGCTTCATGTTGAGGAAAAACAATTTTATTTTAAAGGCAGATGTAACATTCTCTGAAAATGGGATAAACTGAAATCCAGAAGCAGATATAAAATAGTCAGATCATGTTATAATCACAGCAGAATACTTATTTTTAAAAATGTAGACCTTTCAGTTGCAAACTCAATGGAAGTAATTTTTAGTAGATAAACTTACTCTATTTTGAAAAAATGATGCATGAAAATGTGATGTTGTAGCAGATATGGATACTAAAGTGATAGTTTCTTCAGAACTAGGATTATGCAAGTAGACTTTTTCCATTTTTGGCATTCCAACTGGCCTGTAAGAAAAGGAAAATAGTCACAACAGTTTCAAAGATTAATTTTAGTTGAAAATTTCAAACTGCTTAAAAATTAAATAACAAAATAGCCAACTTATCAAAATGTTAATCTATTGATTAGATTGATTTATATTCAAAATTACACACAGAATACAATTAGTCACTGAACAAACATGTACTGAGTGTCAGTTCCATAAAGCATACAGTCCAGTGTAGGAATACAACTGTCAGCTGCTCTTTCTTTCTGTAGCCTACCCTGTCACACTGCTCTTCTCAATTCCACTAATGTACATTCTTTAATGTAGAAACAGAAACAGAGAAGCCCTAAATCTAAGCCCTGATACTATCACATTACCAGAGGAAAACATTAGGGAAACTCTGAAAGAACTTCTTGGAAGAGATTCCAGAAGCACAGGCAGTAAGAATAAAAACAGACAAATGGGATTATATGGAGTTATATGGAATTATATCATACTAAAAAACTTCTGCATTGCAAAGGAAACTAACAACAAAGTCAAGAGGCAACTTATAGAATGGAGGAAACTATCTGCTAACTGTGTAACTGATACAGGGTTAATAGCCAGCATCTAAAGAGCTCAAGAAATAACAAAACAAATAACCCAGTTAAGAAAGGGGTAAAGGACAGGAATAGGCAATTTCAAGAGGATGAAAAACAATGGCCAATAGATTTTTTTTTTTTTTAATATTGAGGATCAGGCCTGGCGCTATAGCATAGTGGTTAAAGTCCTCACCTTGAATGCACCAGGATCCCATATGGTCGCCGGTTCTAATCCCGGCTAATCTGCTTCCCATCCAGCTCCCTGCCTGTAGCCTGGGAAAGCAGTCGAGGACAGCCCAAAGTTTTGGGACCCTGCAACCAAGCGGGAGACCGGGAAAAAGCTCCTGGCTTCAGATTGTCTGAGCTCCAGCCTTTGCGGCTGCTTGGGGGAGTTAACCATTGGACGGAAGATCTTCCTCTCTTTCTTCCTCTCTGTATATCTGACTTTCCAAATAAAAATAAGTACTTTTTTAAAATGCTGAGGATCATTAGCCATCAGAAAAATGCAAATAAAAACCAGAATGAGGTTTTACCTCACGCTACTTGGAATGGCTAGCATACAGAAATCAGAAAATAATCAGTGCTGGTGAGGAGGCAGTGAACCATTGGATGCAAGATATCCTCTCCTCTCCTCCCTTCTTCTGTCCTGCCCTCCTCTCTTCTCTCCTTTCCTTCCCTGCCAACCTCCAGTGGTTATTCAAGTCCTCCTCAGTTTGATTTCATTCAACTTAAACAAATAACTCTTGGTTTTAGTCGATCCAAAGCTTCCACCTGAGTCAAGTTGGTTCCAGGTGAAGACTTTCAAACTTTTGCCAGCTGTTTACCCTGTTTTCTCCCAATCTTCTACATCAATCCAAATCCAACACTTTAATTTTTTGGAAGTCTCAAATTAATAGATATTTGCATCTCACTATTAAAATACCACAAGACATTATCCAGGTCCTCGTTTCTATCGCAGGACAACTTTTAGATCTTATTCGTCAGTCTGTTGAACTGTACATTTTTCAGGGTCATAGATACCATCCCAACATTCTGTGATATCCTTGCTTTAGCTACTGTTGGATGCTGACTCAAAACAGATGATTTTGAAACAAGTTCAATATTATTTCCGTCAAGGACTAGTTCACCTTTCTGGCTTGAGATACTGCACAGGCAACATCTGGTCTCATCCAAACTCTTTGGATGTTCTATTCACCCAATAAAGTTTGAATTCCAACAAAAGACCCATTTTCCTGAATTGGGGACGAGAGCATACACAGACCTCATCTTGTAACAGAGTTCGTTAAATCTCCTTAATCATCTTCTGTCCATGAACACAAGTGCAAACAGCTGCCTGTTCCTTTCTATTTCTGGACCATATGTCAACACGAAGCCTCTTTTCTGTCGTTCCAAGGAGGCTAAGCTCTACACCAAGACGACTGAATTCCCTCTTGCAGGGATCCTCTGGGACCCTTCACAATAACCACATGCCCCTTCAGATTGGTGCCAACATTTGCTGGAATGTCCACAGTGTAGTTTTAGCAAATGGTCTTCACTCTGTGGCAAACAGAGAACGTCTCAATCACACAGCTTTTTTCACAAGATTACCTCTTCACGCAACCATTTTGGTTCATGTTTTCTGAAACTATACATGTTGTGTAACTCAAGTTCAAAGTTTGTGTATAAACTTCAAATTCCACTGTGTCTTGTCTCTCAAGAAGTTTGGTCATGGCCAGAGAAGGTCTCCCCAAGAAGCCGTTAAAGTTATCTGGACAATAAGACGTTGGACTCTATGCTGGGTATGTGCTTGCAATGAAGGAATCTCAACTGAACTTGAACTGTGGTTATGCAGCAAGGTGGCAGAATCCACCATGGAGGGGAAGGATTGTGGGAGGGGCGAGGGAAATCCCAGTGCCTATAAAACTGTATCACATAATACAATGTTATTAACAATAAAATAAAATTTAAAAAAAAAAGAAGTTTGGTCATGGGCCCAGCGTGGTAGCCTAGCGGCTAGAGTCCTCACCTTGAATGTGTCAGGAACCCAAATGGGTATTGGTTCTAACCCTGACAGCCCTGCTTCCCATCCAGCTCCCTGCTTGTGGCCTGGGCAGGCAGTCAAGGATGACCAAAGGCCTTGGGACTCTGCACCCAGAGGGCAGACCCAGAGAAGACTTGGGAGGTGAGTGGGGTGTGGTGGTGGTAGTATGTGTGTGTATGTGTGTAAGTAAAAAAGCCTTAGGACCTAAGACAGCAGCATAAGGACACTCCAAGTAGGTCAACAGGCTTAGCAAATCCAGGTGGCAACACTGAACCAGGCAAGTGCAGGCTGTAGTATAGGTCCAACCAGGGTCTCAAACCATGGTGACAATGCTGCAGCGAGATGTTGTATAAACATAATGCACAAAATAAAGTCTTCTTCCTTGAGCTTCATAGACATATGGGTAGAACACCACACAGAAATTAAAATGTCCTCTTTACACCAGGATTATGTGCTCTTTAAAAAAATATATGCTACTCTGGAGCTAGCGTGGTTGTATATCAGATTAAGCCTCTCAGTGTAGCGCTGGCATCCCACATAGCCACCAGTTCCAGTCCCGGCTTGCCCATGGGCACTCCTACACTAATATGGTATATGGCAGACCTAGAAGAAGCTCCTGCCTCCCAGCTTCAAACCAGCCCAATTCTGGCGACTGTAGCCATTTGGGCAGTGAATAAGCAGGTGGAAGATCTGTTTCTCTCTGTAACTCTGCCTTTCCAACTAAAATAAACTACTCTTCTAAAAAATAGGCTCTTACAGTTCAAACAGACTGTAGACTAACTGATAATCAGTCACTTCTGTATGAACTGATTCTTGATGTTTTGCCTACTGCGAGCTTAAAGCAGTCATCTTAGCTCAGATAAAGAAGGCAGGCCATAAGATAGACAGGTAATTTGATGTTTCTTTCCAAAAGACAAGAGTGAAGATGGTCAGATGTCTCCTTTGGAGTAACAGCCTGGATCACACAGCTTGATCTGCAAACTACTGAGAGGTTGATCATCTTTGCTTTCTCCCTCTCCCTTTCGTCTTTTTAAAACACTTAGCCCCTGGGCCCGGCGCGGTGGCGCAAGTGGTTAAGGTCCTCGACGGGATCCCATATGGGCGCCGGTTCTATCCCAGCAGCCCCACTTCCCATCCAGCTCCCTGCCTGTGGCCCGGGAAGACAGTCGAGGACGGCCCAAAGCCTTGGGACCCTGCACCCACATGGGAGACCCAGAAGAGGTTCCTGGCTTTGGATTGGCATAACATTGGCCGTTGCGCTCACTTGGGGAGTGGATCATCGGATGGAAGATCTTCCTCTCTGTCTCTCCTCTCTGTATATCCACCTTCCCAATAAAAAATAATAAAAATAAATCTTTAAAAAAAAAAAAAGACTTAGCCCCACACAGAGGGACATTTGTTAATACATCTTTTTCTTTTTTTTAGCTCTTTTGTCCCCCCTCCCACATACAGTTACATACATTTTTATTGGATGCTTTTTTTAAAAAGATGTAGTTTTATTTTTAAAAGACAAAGTTACAGAGAGAAGGACAGTCAGAGGAAAAGGTTTTTCTTCATTCCCCAAGTGGCTGTAATTGCTGCAGCTGAGCCAATCTGAAGCCAGAAGTTTCTTCCAGGTTTCCCACGAGTGCACAGGGGCCAAAGAACCTTAGCCATCCTCCACTATCTTCCCAGGCCATAAGCAAGAAGTCAGGCTGTAAGCGGAGCAGCTGGGACACAAACCGGTGCCCATGAGGGATGCTAACACTGAAAGCAGAGTGTTAGCCTACTATCCCAGATGTTAGTTCCATAGCCTTGCCCTTTCTTCTAGGGATCAATGAGCAAAGGCCCTGAGCCACAACTTAAGAGTGTTGCTGAAGGACACTAGAGTAATGCAGACAGAGGGATGGTGTGCCAGCACAGAGCAGACATTCTCTAGTACTGGGCAGTCTACACCACAGCAAGCAGAGAGAGCACCCCTTGGACCTGCTCGCAGCCTTCTCAGGAACATGGGACATGAAACCACATGACTGCTTTCCTAACACACAGGACATTAATTTTCTGTGCTATGTAACAGATAACCTCAAACTTACAGGTTTAAACAACATTCATCTATTATTTTACAATTCTGTAAGGATATCTGTTTAGCATACAGAAACCAAAGTGTCAGCAGACTATGTTGTCATCTGGATTCCAAATTCCTTTTTGAAGTTCATTCAGGCTGCTGGCAAAATTCATACTGGTCTCAGTCTCCAGCTACATGGTCCCTGCATTTCAAAAGTGAGCACAAAGAAACTTCCCTGTATCAAATACTTCTCCTGCTTCAAGTCTTCAGAATTTTTGCCTTGATGGCTATTGCCAGATTTAAGATTCATGGATTAGGTCTAGTCCACCCAGATCAACTGTCTATCTTAAAGACTACCTGATATGGGACCCTAATTT